CCCCCCAAAAAAAATAACAGGCAAGTCCATTTAATTCTTAGTAGTCCTAGACGACCCTCATAAATTTGTTAAATTTATGTAATTATGCCAATTTACATCACTGTGTAATGATATCATTACATAAACAATCCATTTAGTTATTTGTGTAATGATGTCACAGATGATGAAAACCTAATTTGTGTCATCTGCAATGATGTCATGACACAAAGAGCATAAATCAGTACAAATGATTTTTGGATTTAATGGACATTCAGAAATAATGGACATCTCCTACTCTGCTGGTCCATTAAATCAAGGTTTTATTTTTTACTGTAATCTGCTCATCAGTTAAAAATGAAAATAGAAGGAGGAAAAGAAGCTTTTGTCAAGACCTTTCAAATGTAATTTTGATAGAGTGTCCTGGTTCTGCTTCAATCACCCACTCACAATTCAAGGAGTCTTTATAATAGCCAGGCCAGCCTGGAGAAAGGATGACTCCACTGGGGGCTGCAAAATGTCCACCACATGGAGCTATAAAGAAGAAAACAAGAAGTTGTTATTGTCAGGCAAGAACTGTTGTAGTCATCATGTTCAGATTTCCGAAATAAAAGGAAATCACAAGGGTGGAAAAGAAGGCTGGAAGGAAGGAACGTCTGCAGCTGGTTTATCTTCAGAACTGAGTCAAAGTGAAGTATAAATCAAACAAAGTAAGAAACGAACTAGTGCAGCCATAAGCTGGCACTGCAATCATGCATAGTAAAACAGCAAGTCCCTAGTTTAAATTTCACCACTCTCATCAACTCACTAATTCAGTTTAGGGCAAGGTATGTACAGCAATTTTCTGGGAGTGCTTTTGAGTGATTAAACGTTACTTCAGAAAGGAGTAACTGAGAAAAAGGAGGGAGGATTAAATCTTGCCCTGTCTTACTGTTGCTAAGCTTCAAATTATCATTTGCCCATGGCTTTTCTCTGAAGCTCCCATGATTTTTTGGGGGGGAGGGGGGGTTCAGTTCTGAGGTATATTTTTATATCCCCTCAAGAACAAATGAGCTTCACATGCAATGTGTTCTTTTAGTAAATCATTACATTACTATTCTGCTGTAGGGGGATATTGAACCCCCTTGCATGGTTATTACAATCACTATTCAAATTATGACCTAAACGCAGTGGCATTGGCAGGGAGGGGTCCAACCAGTGAGTCTTATGAAAGCTGTGTTGTGCCATTGCGACACAAGCTCCATCCCTTTTCTATGTGTGTCATGATGTCACATTTAGAGTAACTCTGCTTTCATCAATGTGCCCATCCCTAAAAGATCTTTTGCCTTTAAAAATTATTTCATTATTTCAGAGCAAACTATGCAAATAAAATATTTTAAACGCCGAAATGTGCTTCATTTGTACATTACATTTTACATGTTCCAACTCCTCATACATCTTCCTTCTCAAACCTGGCAGCCTTCACATACCCTGGGATTCATTGTACCCTCATACCTTTTGAAATGAAACTGAAAATAATTCATAAATTCTAGTAATGGGTAAACAGTTTACAGTTTATCATTCTTTCTGGAGCCCTATTTAGTTTTACGATGCCTGAATTCTCCCCCGCCCCCACATTTTTCCCACCCACACATGCCAAAGAAACGCTAATTTTTGAGGGAATGTGAGTGACTCAAGAATAGGTTCTTGTGAAAAATTAGATAGGGGAGGGGGTTTTGAAATGGCAATAGCTCCTTTAGGTATTTACAATACTACATATTAGTGATTTTTGTAAAAAAAAAAACGGCAGAGATATCGACTTGAGTAAAGTACAATATGTGCAAAACTGTTTTTACACTTGTTCTTATATGGAAATATATTTCCATGAACAGGCCTGGAAAATTAGTTTGTTGTCAGCGTGACTGAATGATTAAACAGATTTAGGAGCTAACATGATATGATCATGGCTGTATGAGCATATACCTGCATGTGTTGAGTATGAATAAACATATAAGAAGATGGATCAAAATTGTCTACTGCACTTTGTTCTTTTCACACATTGAGCAGTGGAAAACTCAAAGCATCAACCTGCTTTTTAGGATCCCCAGCAATTGTCCTTGAGTGTCTGACTAGAGTCAGACTCTAGTACCGAAGAGTATGAAATAGACTAATGTATGAACAATATCGCATGAAGCATTTGTTGACCTCATATGTCCTCAGTTACCACCATTTAGCTTCACTGGATGATGTTATGGACTCTGATTCTGAAGATCAGGAGAACCTGATGGGCTGCAGCCTACAGTTGGGGAATCAACAACTTGTCAGTCACTCGGAATAATAACTCAACGCCAGCACAGACTCAGAGAACAAGGAGCAGAATTCTGAATTTGGGAGATCGTTAAGGCCTAGAACATGCCATTAGCTAAGGAAGACTCAGAAAGATCTAAAACTCCAGCTTTTCAAGGCCTTCTCCCCTGATTGGAAACAGTGTTCCACTACTGGGACTGTCTTCTTCTAGCCACTCATTCTCCTGATTCCTTGCTTGGCAAACAGTTCTTTGCTTATGACCCGTGGCTTGAATATTGTGGATGTCTTTGTCCCTGACTACCAGACTGAAATAGACCTGTTCTTGGCTGTATTTAAGTCATAGCTATGAATTACAGGCAAGAGACACTTTTTCTGTAGATACTGTATTTCTTTACCTAATTTACAGCTACAGCACTAGTGTTATCTCTAAATGATTTACAACTAAGCTAATACATTTGTTGGAAACATTTGCTGGATGTCACTCAGCCTGGCACAGGACAGATGACACAGAATCTACATTATGGTAGAGTGATTTTTTTTTCTTTTTTCATATTCATTTTCTTAACAAAATGCTCATTTCTGTATTTCTTTTCTTCATTCACCCATATCCCCTCCCTCCCTCCCTCCCT